AAATGAACCCAAAGTTGATTTTTCGTTTTTTTTTTTCATTTAACAATAACCTACGTAGTTATGTCATTTAAAAAAAGATCATTTTTACTTAAAAAGCAAATCTATGGTTATTAATATTTTTTGGCAGGAACTTCTTTGGTTCTGTCTTCGTTTCTAATATCCTCTTGTTCGAAATCTATTGATTGATCCACCATAATGAAGTTATTTCAAAGCTATTACAAATATATAAAATTGCGGACTTCGTTATATAGAAGCTTCGTTAACAGAGGCAATATTAACTGATGAATAACTGTATTTATTAACTACAGGTTTAGTTAATTGCACTTTAACATGATGTTAACAACAATAATGAGGTTATTGCAACCATAAGTATCTTATATAACCATGGTTCATTCAGAATATACATACAAAATTCCTGTTGACCTGTTATTAGGAGCTGCAAAATGTCTTTTCGTATAAAATCTGTACCACAAAATAATTATTAACTAGAAAATTAATATTTCAAACATCATTATAGAAGGATATACATCCCGGAAATTATAAGTTTTGATCCAAATTAAGTAATTAAAAAAATAAGTAAATTGAATGTATGCAATAAAAGTTATTATTATTAATATTTTAATCAATTAATTAAGAAATTATAATATAACATAAAATAATTTTAAAGAATAATAGGAAAGTAAATATGCAAATATTGTTGATTTTATAAATCTGCAGAGGCTTGTTAACATTTGCGATTTTTTTCAATAATCCGTGCATACCCTCCGCTCAATTAACCGGTATAATTGCGAGAGCATTGTTTTATATGTCCTCATTTGAGAACAATTTACTTGGTCATTAAATTTCTCAAGTGCGATGCATCTTAACTACATCATTATAACACAATTCAAACTGAAATAACACAAAATGCGGGAGTTCTCTTTGATAAATTAGAACATTTGCCTCATTTCGAATCTTAATTTCAACAGTTCTTAGTAACTCAATTAACTCAAAGATTACGAAGCTAATGGACTCATTAATTAAGAAGCACCAGATAATTGAGCAATTATATTTTTTTTAAAGAAACTAATCTTTGACTTATTGGTGACGTGTTAATAGGTAGAACGTTTTATTTGCAATATTCTGTTACAAAGTTATGGATAAATGCAACCAATCCTTATAGTATAAATCAAGGCTTTTTGTTGCTGACAAATCCGAGACAATCGTTCCACTATTTCCCATATATCTTTGACCTTTTCAAATGCATCCTACAATTTGCTGACATTGCTAACCCATCATAAAAAGCTCGTACAACCGTAACCAATCTACGAACTGTTGTAGATCAAATACTCTCATGACTCAATAAGTGGCTCGAAAGAAATCCTATTTTATAAACTAACTGCTTCCTCGATCTTCCACGACAACAAAAGGAAAATGAATTATGTGAGCAAAATACCAAAATTATGAGCTTTAATCACTGTATAAAAAAATAACGGAAAATATCCCTTGCGGATGGCATTTGCATTTTATTGGTCAATAAATGTATACCCTATGGGAACAATATTTTTTTTTTATAATTAATTTATTCTTCTGGAATACCGTATTTAATGTACGTTTTAGTTTTGCAGGACAAACGTAAACGCCTTTTCTTGTACACAACTCACTTTAATGTGTACCCTTCTAAACAGCGATTCGTATGAACGGATTTAAAATTATATTAAATTAAAATTAAGATTAATGGGAATTATGTTAATGCGGAGTATCTTAATATCTAAAAAATGTTAATTAATTTATACGCAAACGAGCACTGCTCCGCTATTTATCATGAAAACGTTGAAGATGAAGATTTTCCTGGTATAGTTCTTTAAGGACAATATAAATAATGGTGCTTTGTTTTATTACGCAAAGCCATCAGAGCGACGAATCATCAATCACGAAAACGCTACGAAGATACGGCAGATCCCTCGCACAACTGCGGACTACAGACTTAAAATAAATAAACTGGCAGAAATATTGCAATCAATATTTTATATAAATTTTTCCCTTCCCTTGGTTGACCAAACTATAAAGTGTCATAGTTCAATACACATTTCCAAAGTCCAGTATTATATAATAATAATATTTAAGAAAGAAATAACATTTCAACAAAAAAGAAATCGAATTATAATTGATATTAGCTATTATCAATTGTCAAAACTTAAATTAAGAATTGAGTAAAAAAATAAAGAAAAAGAAAATTATTTTAAAATAATTGCTTTAAATATATATTCTATAAACTGAAACGGTTTTGTTTTTCAAAAAAATACAATTTACAAAACCAAAATCCAAATAAACTACACACTTCACTGCGGAAACTATTTTCCGTAGGACGCGTAATTATGTAAGCCAACATTATATACTTTTAATCATATATAACTTGGCACACTTCCGTTCTGTAAAATAAGGACGGTTTTTTGTCAATAAAAGCTTATTTAATGTAAAACTATTTTCATCGCATTTCCTTTCTAATGTAAATAGATTCCCTGTATTTGTATAAAAGAAGTATTATTACACTTTACGGGTTTCTCGTTTTCATCTATTACATTGAGAATTGGAGTTTTTTTGCGTATTATATAAAATTAATACATTTAGCATACATTTGATATTCTAATTGGATTCGTGAAGGTGATATAGTCATTACGTAAGGTTTCAGAACTTTATATATATACAAAAATACTGTTCGATGCCATTTGTTCATCAGTCATTTGAAAAAGCGTTTGCTTTAAGAAAATTGTTAAAAAATCAATACAAAAAGGTAAAATAAAACATATACTTATCATATTTAAAAGTTAAATTGTACAATTTTTTTAAGTATTACTCATTCTAAATGATTACTCAATTACGCAAGTTATTGAAATTAACTATATTTATATCATAATTGTAAAAACAATATGCTTATATGAGTCTGAAGTTTTTCTTCCGATTAGTTACTGATCACCTATTAAAGTACTCCATGCTTAACTTTTGTTAACTGTCAAATATCAACTGTACAGCGGACGCCATCTATTGTAATATATATATTAATAATTAAAAATTTGTATTTTCTTTTCAAATCATTGTCAAATAATAAGAAGAATAAATATTAAGAAGAATTAAAAAAAAATAATAGCTTATTTGCATTGTAAAATTAATGTTGATTGTTGATTAGAAAACTAAAATGTTATATCTTGTTCTTTCATCGTCGAGTGCTCATGGAAATATACACATAAATGTTTGTAACAATGGAGGAGAGAGACAGAGAGAGAGGGCAAATTAATTAAGTATCGATTGGCTGATTAAAAATGCGCTGGCTTAATTAATTAGAAATTGTACGTTAAATAATGGCGAGATCGTTGAATATCTGTTGGTTAAATGAAATAGAATTAACTTGCTGTGTGTGATAGAGAGTGGTAAAGACGAAAATAAAATTGTTATCCTTTAATGAAGTATATATGGAGGCATTATGCATCGGTATATCCCGTTTACAAGGCATTATATTGTCGATATCCAGCGATAATGCAAAGCCAGATCTTATCTAACTACATTTAACTCTATATATAGAGGCTACAATATAAATGGTCACCGCACACGAGCTTAGCATTTAGCTCCCTGCCAAGAATTCACGAACCAATCGTTTCATTATTATTGCCGTTCTTACTAACATTATGATAATAATAATAATGAAACAGGGAAGAAAAAGATGTTAAGAGAGAGAGAGAGAAGAGATACAAAGAGGAAAAAGATAGAGAGAGAGAAAAGCACAGTGATTCTTGGAATTGCTGTTGAAAGTTGACGGTTAGAATGTAAATAAACAAAGAAAATAAAAATATTATTGTTAACAAACAGGTAAAGAGAATAAGACAAATAAACCAAAAACAAAAATAAAAGAGAAAATAAATAAAAATCTGCCACCTACCTATTTCTCTAAGGTCCCAAACATTATATTTATTAGCCAATATTACTGCAAATTGAGAGAGAAAAAAATAGAGAGTAAGTGATAGAGAGAGAGAGAGTAAGAAATTAAAACAAAATTTAGTTTCATTTGAATCATTATATTTTTTTTTATTTTATTTCAATTTTGAATATATATATATAACATTGTACATCACACATAATTAAACCTAAATCTAAACAGATCGAAATTTCGTTTTAGTTTTAGCATCGTTCATTTAAAAGTAGTCTTTGTTGTTGTTATTATTATATGAAATTTCGCTATGATTAAAAATCTTAAAATTTTGGTGCTAAAAGTTTAGTTTTAGTACTTTCTTTTTCCAAGTTGTTGTTTTTCTCGTCATAAGCGGCGGAAAATTTTGTTATATTCTGATCGAAAAACCGCACAGACGAAATTGAATAAATAAAAGTATAATTTAATAACACTAACCAGAATTTCGTTTTCTTTCCTTATTATTTATATATAAATTAATTTTTTTTTTGTGGGTTTGTTGATCAATTTTATAGAATATAGCAAAACTTTCGACGCCAATAATAATAATAATAATAGATATAAATATATGTTATAAATTAAATAAAATCTAAAATCTAAATAACACTTGGTGCGATGGCACGAAAATTATTTATTTTCATTTTAATTTAATGTTTTATTGTTATTTATTTACGTTTAATATTATGATTTTTTTTTTGTAATAAATTTAAACTAAATGAAAACAAAAGAAAAAGTCTTAGAAATTCCGTCATCACTGTCAATAACAACATCATCATCATCATCGTTCACTGCGCAATCCGAAACGAAAATCGTTACACCGGGTTCCGTTGCGCAACAGTTGTTTATATAATTAATTAATTATTTATTTATCTCGAAGGGGAGGGGAGGATTATTACAATTACATAATGCTTCGATTTTAAAAGCCTACAATTAGCAATAGCCGCGTACTACTAATAGCTAACAAAATATTTAAGTTATATAAATTCAGCTATATAAAATTTACTTCTATCACACCTAAATGCAAGTTAATTATATTTACAATGATTTTCAACTCAAGGTTAAAATGTTAATGTCACCTGCAGTTCGAAATTTACATTTTGTTTTTTTTTAATTCTTCCTTTCCTTCATTCTCCTTAGATGATTTGAGCCAAAGTTACCAATTTTGGTTTCACTATATCAATTATTTTTTTTTGCATTTTTTAATTGTTCTTTTTTTGTTTTGGTAGCTTAGGCACAGATATGTCGGATTACCTTTTTACATTTTATACGTATATAAATATATTTTTATATATATATACCCCAAAAGCTAATATATACAAGTCTCGCAATTAAAAAATAAAACGAATGGATTATAACTTAACGATTTTTAACATTTCTGCGTTGCTGCCAAGTACATGTAATATTGGGCGAGTGATAGTAGATACACCATGTTACTATTTGTACCTTTTTCGTAATTAATTTGGCGTTCTTGTTGGCGGGCGTTGTCTGCGGCTACTTTGAGGAGACCCTGGATGTTGCGGAGGAGCGTTTCCGTCGAGGAGATGCTTGGGTCCTGACCCGGACCGTTCGCAACGGCGCTGGCCAATGTGGAATAGTTGATGGCAGCCTGCTGGGAGTCGCTTCCAGGTGCCGTCGACATCGCCAAATCGGCATCATCCAAATCTGCAAACGAAAAAGCGAAGCACGGAGATGATTTAGCGATCGGGAATATTTATATCATTGGTACACGAATGCTACAAGGATTCATACTGGGTGGACAGGGACTAGCCCGGTGTATTTACACTGTCGACAGGTATATTGGCTCCGGTTACAAAATTTACGACCGAATATAACTCAAGCCTTGTAGATGTTGCGGTAGTAGCAAGTAAAACATTCGCTCTCTTGGCGCACACGTACTCACACACACTCGTACATTTTCGAAACGAGGTAGTGGAGTGGAGTGGAAGCAAGTGAAACAAAGATATCTTGAAACGTATTAAACTCCAATTTGTATTTTTGCAGACCGGTCTGGACGCAGTCTAGTCTGTAATAGCTCGAGGCTATATCCTGAACCATAGCATAACACAGCGCTCACGCACATTTATACACAGTTGAGCGAGTTGTTTATTAACTAAAATACAAAGAGTTTAGCGTACGTGTGTTCGCTCGCCGTAATTTCTTCCTCTTCGTTTTTCTACTCTTTTTTCTTTTTGCAGCGAGCACTGTCCTTCTCGCGGGGATAGAAAGGCTGTCTCTCCAGCTAAGCCAAAGATATTCGATTACAGAAACGGGGAATCGAGTTACCAGTTAGGTGAAGCGCACAGTACATCAATTTACTAAGGGTCCGAGACATACCAAGCGAATTAATCCGCCGGAGGTCCACCTCCAATCAATAACATCGCTTTTTGCATTTTAAAATTTCTTTCAAGAACAAATATAAAACTTATGGACACGCAAAATTCCTTAATTAACATGTGTAATGATAAAACGTTTTTCACTTCTTAATATTTCAAACATTAAAATATATCATTATTACATAAAAGCAGTATTGTTTTTTTTTTCAAATGCATTAATAATTACTATAGTCATTTCCATTGTGGCAAAATTGCCAATTAAATTAATAAATTTCAAATGTAAATTGAAACAGGTGCAAGGAAGAATGCCATTAGGCAGTTACCGGAGAGCTATGAAATTTGGCATTTTAAAACTAATAGAGCTATATGATAAATCTGGAGGGGAAATGACGTCGGAGCACGGTCCATCATTAATCCGAACCGCCACGGTTAAAGACTTATTTACTAATGACCACGAGGTAAAAATAAATTAGAATGGTGGAGAAGGAGCGAACAACAGTCTTTTGTTCGATTCCTCAAAAGTAATTACGCGTCCATTTATTACCCACCACAAAATAAGAATTCCAGAAAATTAGTTGATAATTAAAACGAGAGGATGGCGGCGCGGCGGAGGGGCGGAAAATAAAAGGAATAACGCGATGTCGAAGAAAAGAAAAGAAAAATAAAAGAAGAGAAATAGGAAGGAGTCCTGTCGACGCGATTTAATAAATCGTTTTCGGACACACCTTCGGTCGGTTATAGTCAGTCGGTGGGGTGGGGAGTACAAGGGTGGTCGTCGGTTTTGAAAAAAAATATTTTTAATTGGAATTTTGTCATCGAATCTATAAATCCATACCTTGATCCTTGTCGTCCTCCTCCTCCGGATCCGAAATGTTGTCGTCGTCTTCATCGTCGGCGGCGGAGTGCGGGGAACGCGGGGACGGAGGCGCATCTGGACCGTCCACCTCGCTACCTGAGTGGTCGTTATCACCTAGGGAACCTGCACTTCCTCCGCCGCTCTTCGACAGGTTTAAGACGGGACTGTGATCTGTCGGCGATGCTGCAAAAGAAACGAGACAACAGTTACATTTCTGTCAGTTATCAGAGTAAATACAACATCCGTAGAAAAGATGACACCCAGATATTAACAGCCTCGAGAATTTGCAATCAACACAGCTTGAAGTTGATGACTCAATTAATTGAAGAGGTGGATGTCTGACAAAGATAATACGCAAGTATTTATATGAAAGACATAGCCCGTTGGCTAACTTGTACATGTTTATTTACATTATTTAGCAAAGATGTAACAACAGTGTGTATTACAAAAATAATGTATACCACAAGCTACAAAAATAATGAAAGTATTATAATAATTATAAAAAAAATCCAGCATGAATTGACAACGCAATACTCAATAGATTACGACAATCAAAAATATCAGTGTTATTTGTTATAATAACTAATAGAAATTTCATATGTTTCATTCATACTATCATTTTTCTGTGGACAATTTTGAGGATTGAAAACGGACTTTTTTTGCGGGGTCTGAGGGGTGGTAGAGGCGTGCGCGCGTCCAGGCAAGGAAATAAAAAGTTAACTATCACTGCGGGGTTAATTAATGGCTGTAAATTCGGCGGGGGTGGCTTTCGGTGGTTGAAGGGTGGAGGGGGGAAACCGGGGATGCAGGCTCGAAATGTAACACGAACCAATCTGGCCGGGCGATAAATAACAAGCTCACATGTTATAAAAGGGGATCGCAATTAAAACACGCACACGAGATGGATCGTACATGTTGGGACTGGAATGAATAATTTTTACGTTCTTTCTTGCAATCTCTTTTCATTTTTTATTTCGTTTCGCAAGTTTATTAATAGTGGTAGTAATTGTATCTTTGTTACTATGTTTATATTCCAACTACTCATTAATAATGACATTTCTCAACAATGTATGTATATGGTTAAAATATTTATTATTGCAGCGAATCATCGAAGTTATACTTGAGTTCAAAATAGATGGTAGTAGTTAAGAGAATGTCCTCATCAATCAAGAGATTCTTAAGTATCTTATATAATAATTTGTGACAAAATCTGGATGTAATAATTTCGGTATTTCTGATTGTATGCTTTATAAATTTATAATAAAAATGTTGTTGTAACTTACCAAGTCTGGGACTCAGATCTCTAACTTTGTGGTCGAGCGGCATAGGCCTGTCCGGGTCACCCCTTTCCTCCCTTAACCTGCGAATGGGAAAAAGAAGAATAAAAAAATGAAAAATTAAAATGTAAATTTCACAAACAAACTTTGCGGGGCGAAAATTATACGCAATGAATCAAACCAATTATATGGAGAGAAGGAGCGGACTGCAATTTTAGATTCATTAAATATGCATTACATTTTCGGACCGCATGCAATCTGTAGATTTGATCTTTTTAGGCGCTGCTCTGTTTTCGTTTCATTTTATTTTCGCATTTATTCCGAATGCAGCTGCCTACGCCATTTCTGATTAGAAGCAATACATATTGTTGCACGTATTTATTTTTAAATTGCAATTTTGAACATTCAGTAAATTTATTTGCACAAACTTTTTTGGATTCATAAATATAACATGAATTTTATAATAATTCTTAAACTGATTAAAAACAATCAGTGATTATAAATTAAATTGTACGGAAATCCAAATTGTAGGTTTTACTAAATCAGCTTAGCACTTGATGTGTTAATGTAGAATTAAAGTGTAAGTAAGACGCTGGGTGGATGTGATAGTAAAAAGTAGTGTTAGGCCATAAACAAAGTTTCTTGTATCGCTGAGGGTGAGGGGCGTCGGATAAGAATCTATTTAGTGCCCTAAGTGCTAATATAGTTCTGAATCCAATTAAGCAGTGCCAGAGACTCGCCACTGTTCTGCTAAATTAGTTGCCATTTCTAAGCTAATTCACCTTTGGCTCGGAATTAAACGTCGCCATTCCTTCTAGCCGTATTAATTTAGCGCTCTCGCCGTTCCCCCTGCTCTCCTATTCACTCACTTCTCCCAAGACATTTTGCCAATTTATCGGATTCTCGTGTATTATCATCGCATGTATCTGCAGAAGCGGGATGAGCAGTAGCAACCCTCCCAAAAAAAGAGAGCAGTAGAAGGGGACCAGCCCAGAAAATGAGTGAACAGTTCATTTCCCATTCATATTTTCAGCGATACGCAAACTGCTTTTCAAACAAACATTGCCCGCAGCCATATACCGCTCTAAAGTATAGTAAAGAGATCGATGCTGAAAGCATTTTCCACCCTAAGAACATTTTTACGTTTATTCCTTCTCCTGCATCATGCGGGAGAGAAAGTTTCCATTTCGTTTTTCTTCTTCCTTTTTTTTTATCTACCAGAAGCGGTTCTCCTCTGCTTATGGAGGTGGTGCATATCTCGGGGTATAATAAATTCTTGCTCACCACCCTCCGTAGATTTGTTAGTGTCGAAGCATTTTAATTAGCGGGAATCATATTTTAGAAACAATAGCCAAGCAGGGGTCGTTAGTGTCAGAATCCGACCGAATCCCCCCGAGTTGCGAACACGATACTCGCTGCATTCATTCGCCGACGCCGAACTTATTATTTTTAATTCATCCCCTCATCATCCTTCCAGAAGATACCGACATCGATTTTACAATGTAAATATGTTGTTATGCTTATTACGAGCGCTTCCGGGCAAGCACGTATTCACATATGCGGTTAGATAAATATGGTAATGTTTTCGGTTAGAAAAAAAAAATGTTGGAATCTCTGCGTGTGATGGACGATCCTTGCTTAAATTCTTTTTTGTTTGTCTCTTTCGCGTCAATTTTTTCTAACATCTTCCGGTGGTAAAATTTACATATCCTCTTGAAAGCACACCAGTCAGCAACCGGCTGTGAAGTGCACACTGAAAACTGCCCTCGCCATCCACCCCCAACCGGAGTTTACTTTTTAACCCCCTTCGCATTCGAATGGAACACTCAATAATTAATTTAATCGCGTAACGTCCCGCTCATTCTGCATTATGCAATCCACTTATCCGGCAGACATAATAAACTTTACTCTCTCTCTCTCTCTCTCTGGCTATGTAAGTATATATTTATAAAGAGAGAGGGAGATAGAGAGTTGTAGTATATGGAGGTAGCTACTAAGAACAATAGCAGCTTCTTTTACTAATTACAGTCATAACTCCGGAGCTGCGGAAATGAGATTTCGATGTTTCCCGGAGGAGCTTTTCCAAAGTCTCTTCCCACCCGAAAACCCCACCAGAAACCCGAAGATCCCGTCTCCCCCATCGTCATAAAGGCTGAATCTGCCCGAGCAACAGTTAACATGGAATCCGTTAACTGAATGCAGCATTTCGCAGAATACAATTAGAATATTAGATTAGGGATAAGATCTCCGAAGCGAGGCGCTCCTAAGTGAATCCCAAAACTTCATCAAGATATCTCTTAATATTGTTTAATGCATTTGGATCGCGTTACATTATGATTTTGGACTTGATTTTCGGTAGGTGAAGATGGAGGCCTTGTTCGCTCCAATTAACGCAGCCGAATGTTAAGCATTATCTGTTTAATTTTAACTCGGGATCCGCCGAAATCGAGGACCCAGAGACGGAAACGGTTGAATTATGCAGAAGACCATCTTTACCTGTACGAATGATCGAGCTAAAATTCAACCACCTCCGCACCCACCCGAAAAGCACCCCCCTCATGTGTCTAACGCAGAAATGAAAATAATTAAATAATAATGGGGACGAGAGAGGAGGGTGCCGAAGCCCGATGATTGTACATGTACAGTATATCAAAGAAGTAATATGGAAAGGGGTTAAAACTGGGAGCGCCTTTTATTCATCTTCGTGCGGCCGGATCTCCATCTCTCTCTTACACACTTTAGCTCTTTCTCTTTAGCTCGGATTTATGATTAGTCATAGAGACAATTTAATATTTAATAGAGATACAAATCTTGAGAACGGTAGCCGGGAACGGAGAGCGGGAGGCTGCGATTGAAAATTTTGATTGTAATAAATTGATCCTAAGTAAATATTGCGTGTCTTGGAATATATTTGCGCCCGGTGAAATCTGCTCAGCCTCTGAGGGTTTATGAAAGGGGACCCCGTTTATGTACCATATATATGTATATTCCAAAGTGTTACCGTTCCTTCTGCAAACCCACGTAATTCATCATTCAAACAAACACTTCCCATTCGTAATTTCCAGATAAATACAAAATGTATTGAATATTTGCTATACACGTAGCATTTCTGAAAATTTACATAAAATTCACGAATTCAATATTAAACAAATATTAAAGATCATTGTATATTAAGTAAGAGTTTTGTAGTTGTCAGGGGCGTTTGTTGTGGGTCGGAAATGTATAAATTGTTCTTTCTTCGTGAAATGATTAAGAGTTATGGTATGCATAAAATAATAATTCGTGTGTATGGGGAAAGGCACCGCTTAATTTTTTAATGGGCGAATGCTTTTAGAGACGTCCTGACTGCGCGGAACCCTTGAAGGAGGGTTGGGAGGGTTTTCGGGAGCCGTGAATATTTAAAAAGTAATGCGAAGTTCTCTAAGAGCATTAAGAGAGGAAGGCAATCGGGCCATCAAGAACAATGTATGGCCGTAATATCGCGCGTTATTATACGATACGAATTAGCATCGTACTGGAGAGGCCCTGATGCTGAGGGATGAAAGACGGAAAGTGCAGAGAGTGTGAGAAGCTGAGGGGGTGGAGGTGCGCACAGGTGCGCCGCCGCTCCAATTTGATTTAAGTTTTAAGAGTGGCGGCTTTTATTATTACCCGAGAACGTAAAAGAGAACATTCATATAAATATTAATATGTGATGCACCGAGCACAGGTTTTTGCGGAATTTGAGTGGAAGGATGTGATGGGAGCGACCTTTTATTAGACACTTTGTCGACTTTCGCAGCTGCGTCCCCGTCGCAAATTGAAAAACATTGCGTGAACATAACGAACAATATATGAAAAGTCATAAAGAGAGAATCTAAAGCTGTCAGTGGGCGAAACCCGGAGACTCTAAAACATACACACGCATCCAAGAAGACACACGAGCCTCCTCTCTCTGCATCTACCTATACCTCTACCTTACTGCCTCCCTGCCGCACACATATTATTAACTTGTATGGAAGTTATATTCCTCTGCCTCCACCTTCTCGACGCATTGTTTTATTTGACGAGGCAATCATCTTTAAGACTCCTCTTTATGGCCTGATAATTTATTGCTCAACCGCGTTTATATGTTGCAATTTCGGCCCGGGAAACTTAAATATATACACACGAGGAGAAGGAAAAATAAATGAAACTGGAAGCCCACACCCCCACCCAAAATCGCAACCATCAACTTCTTCTCGTTGTTGTTGTTGTTGATAGGCATCAAACGGAATTATTAGTCGCGAACAAAGAGCACCCGGAATTCCTTATTGAGGCTTTTGCTCTTCCTACATATATAACTTCTCTTTATGTTTGTAAATATATATATATATACAGTGAGAGTGAGCGAAGATCCGCTGGGGGAGGAGGAAAATAGTTTCAAATTTCATTTAAGATTTAATTTGCGTATGTGGACGCTCCCTTTTCGTAAGATTAACATTTTTGGAGGGCGGAATTAAAGAGCTTTTGTTAAGCCTCCCTTCCCAGAGCGAGACGAGGACAGAGGAGGGTTCGCCCATCCGGACGGTTTCTACTACTTTGATTTATAATACCTGGGTATATACATATATATTCGTGTAATTAAAAGTAGGTTATTTGTATTTCATATATATATATGGTGGTGAAGGTTGCGGCGGGGGCGGCGCTGCCTGATGTGTACATTTTCATCGTTTGTTGACTTAACATTAAGGATGTATGAAAACTGTGGGTCAGCAACGCAAATAACTGACATGCAGCGACGACCTCTTCTATGTAAATAACAATTTCAGTTAACAAACACATTTGTACCTTTTCCAAACCCACCCCCCTACTCTTCCAACCCTTGAATAATAACAGCCTTAAATGCACTGTCATTACCGAATGAATGAAATCAAATAGAATGAAAAAAAAAGTGAAAACAGAGGAAAAAAACGCCAATATTTGCGATTCAATTTCAATCTCATCGAAATTGCATGCCATCGTGTATAAATTGTACAGTTCTACTGTCTAAGCCTAGGTAATTAGTTTGTTCAAGTGCACGCCGCCCGATGGGAGTAATTGTTATAATGAAAAACACTTTCTC